AAGCTCCAAGCCACCTGTATAAATCTGTGATTGGCGAATGAATCCATCTAACTACATCCTAACTAGCCTTGTTAATCTGAACACACTAATTCGAAACTCGATGAGAATTTATCGTGAAATTAAAGTTCTTCATGAGCATAAAAAATTCTTATCTACTAACTTCTGAACCGGAAAACTATCAGTTTTACACGTTTCTTTCCAAACCAGTATAGATAAAAGCATAAAACTGTTCATTCTTCCGAAAACAACTCTTCTCAATGAGGAATAACGGAAATAGAGAACAATCAGTCTGGAAATCAACCATCCCATTTATGACTCATTAGGAAACTACAATCATCAACTTAAACCATAAAAAACTGATTTCTTTGTAAACGTGTTTATCTCAATTCAAAAGAGCTATTCAAGCGTATTCTACAAAGAAATGAGTTGAATATGTACATTGTGTTTTATCCACATTTCTGTCTCCTAAATTATGTCCATATACAAGTGAACATTTTCAAACGAAATGCTAAACTATGCAATCCCGTTGATATATTCATGGGTTTCTTTCAACTGACCACGAATCAGTACTAAGATTTGTCATTAATTTTAGTACTTGATTACTTGCTCGGTTAAAATCAAGTGAACAATTTATTACCAATCTGAACTGATTTTAAACACCATCCGCAACCCTCCCAGACTTACTGCATGTAACTGGCGAACCCAAACAATTCAAGATAGCTCTTAATAATAGGTTCTACACCTTACACGGTCTATCCAGTGAAGAGGAAACTACTATGGAGAACAAATGAAACGGATTGAAGAAGTATTAACTCCAAAATCTCAGGAATTGTCGGATCACAAGAAGCTCTATCATGAAGAAGTGGTCTCTATCGATACCGTGAGAACGATTTGACAACTGAATAGCCAGATAGCAAACAACAACAGCCGGACACTAGTTTAGAAAGTCAAGGGCAGATCGATCACGCAGAAGCAAAAAGGCGAGTGAAGAGGAGCATCAGAGCTGATAAGCGGAAATACGTGGAAGACCTAGCAGAGGGAGTGGGACAATGAAGAAGTGTGGAGAGAAACGTAACGAACCAGAGAAACCTGTCAATAATGTGAATGACAAACCGATAACTCAGACTCAAGAGCAACGAAATCGGTGGGTAGAACATTTTAAAGAGCTCTTCAATGGACCAACAGTTGAGAAAATTAGCACGACCATCTGACAAAGCAGGAGTAGAACAACGGAAGTATCAAACGGCATACCAGCTGAAGCACTGAATTCGGACATAGAGGTAACTATAAATATATTCCACGCTCCTTTCACGAAGGTTTGGAAGCAAGAATAAGGGATAACAGACTGGAGGTGAGGATACATCAACTAGGTACCAAATAAAGATCTCAGTAAGTGTGAGAACTACAGAGACATCACACTACTATCACTGTCAAGCAAGGTTCTTAACTAGGTGTTGTTGAACCGGATGAAAGAGTCAGTAGACGCACGAATTCGAGATCAACAAGCTAAATTTCGTAAAGACCGACCATTTCCGACCAAATAGTGACACAACGGGTTATTGTTGAACAATCAATTGAATGGAGCTCAGCACCATACATCAACTCCCTTGTCTACACAATTTGTTGTCGAAACTGAACTGGTCATTAAAAGTATAGCATAACACTATTTCCTGCAAGTGGTTAGTCAGCGACCCATCTATGTTGATTTAATCAATGTAGTTGTATACATAACAAATAGTTCTAGTTAATAGTATACTGGTGAACAAAGAACTAAAATCAAGCGAGAGTATGAGTTTTTCAGAAATGGTAAGAGACAGACGGATAGAGATATTATCAACATAGAGTCTTATGCAGATGTGCGTTAACCTGAACTGCCGTATCTCATCAGCACCATGAGATGAAAACACATCAAACAGTTCATCTCTTAATATCAGTTTATCTTCTGACCTCTCACTTTTTCTTAAGTTTAGTTAACGTAAGGAATATTTAGGCTTGGGTTTTTAAATAAGGAAGTTACTCATATTTTACAGCTTATTAGACTCAGTATACAACTTGATCATACTTAATGTCAAGTCCGATTGTTTTCGGTATTTTAGAATAAACGGATACTATCCAGTAATATATGACCTTTAAAAGTCAGTAGAGTTAACGGAGTATCTTCTAGCTATGTTGTCTACCTGAAATTGGAAAAACATTGCGGATAACTTCATTTGTTTGTAAAAAGACAATTTGAATATAAATTAGCTTAATCTGTAACAGCAACATTCTGAATTTTGTAAAGATAAGTGCTCATATTCCTAAACATACGAATTCATATTTAACATACTAAGCTCAAACCAGTCAATGATTTTCAATCTAGATTCTACTTTTGCTGTATCTCTTCGAAAAAATTCATCCCTGGTCACTAGAAAATCCAGTTTAGACCTAGAATTCCAGGTCGCATTGCTCGACGCTACAATAACAGATGTTTTCATTTTGTAGAAATAAAGAAAGTTTGACAAACTGTTTTTCAAAATGCTGTAACCGTATAATTTCAAATGACATACACTACTATCTAGTATTTGCAAGTAGTTAAACTTAGTAAATGAAATGGATTGACCAATATGATGTGGAATGATTCAAACATGCTATATCCCCTCTTGTTGATATTTTAGTAACCGTGATGACAATACGCCTACACCAGATTGTAATGTGTAAACACACCAAGTAGGTTTGATACAGAAATCCGGTAGTGTAAAGCTTTCTGATATAAAGAGGAAAGTTATAATGTATTGGAGTAATCGAATTCGACCTTCTTCAAAACCAATCAGATTTAATTATCTTTCTGTGAAAATTTCTTTCATATAAGCAAGTCATTTTACTAGAAAAAGTCTATTCTACGGAACAGCTGTCTTGTCTTCTGAAATCAATCTAATTGGGGACATAAGTCAATAATCCAATCTCATGAGCAGCCATCACTCTGCCACGTCGTACCACCAGAAATCATATATCGATTGACATGCTTCTTATTTACTTTAACAGTCAAAAACCATCTCATAAACTCACAACCCATGGTATTTCCCTAATGGGTTTGCACCATAAGTCCAAGAAATTCTCAATTATACAACTGATCCAAGAGATATATAACGATAAGTGTAAAAATATGAGTTGCAATAAGCCTAAATTGAACTAATCTTCAATTTGCACAGCTCATAGATGGGTTCCAAGTGAAAACCGGTATAGAGCAAGACTGCTCACTTTCGCCTTTCCTCTTTCTCTTGGTTGATGGTCGGATTATAAGGAACCCCACATCTCAGGGGAAGCACGAAATGCAGTGGACACCTTGGTCGCAACTAGACGATTTGGACTTGTCAGATGACCTAACTCTCCTGTCCCATATACACCAAACAATTCAGGTAGAGAAAGCTTCATTTTATTTAAATACACAAACATAGGCACAAGAAATCACCAAATAGATGTTAATTTCATTTAATCGATGTTAAATTCATAATTGTTATTCTCGCTTTATTTATCTCTCTCTCTCTCTCGTACCTGTGACTTTATTCAATTACTACTGGTATTACTTTATTTCACATGGTCCATTCAATGCCTAGAAGCACTTTTATTATCCATAATTGACTTACTAATTTTACACCAATTTTATTTACACATATATGATGATTATGAGTATTTGAATTATAGTAAGAAGTAAGAATCTGTAGTGTTTGAATAGACTAATGATACTTTTGTACTTTTTGAATGCTTGATTTCGAATTCCAAACACAGTACATTCGTTTGTGATTATCTAGTAGTTCTAGATCCGATTACGTTATTTCTGGGATTACTAGTTCATACTATAATTCAAATACTTCCGAATATCATAGAATCCCAGAAATAACGTGATCGCATCAAGAACTGCTAGATAAGCACAAACGAATGTACTGTGTTTGGAATTCGAAATCAAGCATTCAACAAGTACAAAGGTATCATTAGTCTATTCAAACACCACAACATATCATATAGATGTTACACTCACTTTGATTATTGTTATTATTATTATTTACACAACATCACCCAGTATCCTAGTCTTTCTACCACATTATCCATGCTTATTCATTGTTCATAATTTATCACTGAATTGGTACTTATAATTTCATACGTATAAATATGGTTGTACAGCTTGATAATATACTGGTTGAATGTGATTCATTCGCTGAATTTCGTTTTCTTAATGTCTATTAGAGAATTATTAATTTAGTTTGTGAATTTCAAATCGACCATCCTATCTGTACTTCCAAAGTCATTCATTTGTTGGATATATGTCTATTTGATATACAAGCATAGAGATTGTTGCTGTTGTGACTTTAAACTTGGGTCGATTTTTACCCCGTGCCAATTGTTGCATTCTTGACTGAAAGATTAGCGAGCAGCGTATTATAGATCGAACCAGTGACACGTAAAACACGTACGAACGACCTAGAGTTCCAATTAGTCCCGCCTCCCTGTCTAGCCCAGCCAGTTGAGTCCAGAACACAAGTCACAACGTCTGAGATATGAATCGTTATATTTCAAACGTGTTCTGTTTATATACCAGTCAAGCATACCACATCGTACCATAAAATAGAAAACAACATTTTGTACAATATTTAACAAATGAACAAATATCGACCAATAGGAAGTGTCCATTTAAACTCCGAGGACATCATTAAACTTAACATGATAATTATTGGTATATTCCTCTGCATCCCTAACAGTTGCTAACGTCTGATCAGATCAACATGTATTGACAATGGTCCATTTGTTTACTTAATTAATAATCAGTCTTCATTTAAATAAAATTTTATTCAGTTATGAATAGTACTCGCACCATTTACTAACGTCTCAGTCAAGAAATTTAGGCGTACGAAATTATTTGTGGTAAGTCTTGTTAATTTGAACGCCTTGTTCGGTTCCTTAGCTATTCTGGTAACCCGCAAGCTAGAACTACACAGCGACCTGAACTCGAGAGAAAAGGCGCAAAATTGGCAAAAAACACTTTACTCCAAAGGTTCATTTTTGTACAGAAAAACATGGGTATTTATAGATGTTAACATTTGTTAAATCAACATTATATTTTGGCCAATCCGCTAAAGACATATTATGCTACTGACCAATAGTAGTACGCCACGTTGATATTCTAAAATGCTTCATCATGCTCTGATTGGCTAGGACTCTTCGGCTTCATTTAGGCCTCTGGAGGCTCCGTTGCAGTTCTCGGAAAACCGACTCAACAATTTGGTACTGATTACTAATATCATTCTCTCTACAATAGAAAAATTAGCTTACTATTCCATTCTATATTTCTGTATCTTTTTGATTGACATGTGTCTTCGTCGATGCTCAGTTCGCGGTTGTGTATGAATCGGCAACGAACGTAACCTTGAAAAAAAAATAATGACGCTCCTATAGTTGTGCTTTTTGTGAAAACGATTTACTAAGCCACACTGAACTTTAACATGAGTAGAAATATTCATCCGTCATTTACTATTACAATCTCAGTTCAATGACTAAGATTACTAGAAATCGTCTTATAGAATAGATATTTAGTTCATTCTTTTTGTTCTGAAAATGTGTTAAGTAGAAATAGTGTGGTTGTGGCTTGAAAAGATTAAAGTTCATGAAGAACTCTGCAATGCATTGTTTTAAGATGTAGGTATTAACATTTGTATTTAGGGAGAAAATAGCTTGACATTTAGTGACACCTGGAAACAAATCATTTCGTTTGCTAAAGTTTTATGATACAGTCAGTTCGCTATAGAATCAGCGATAGACATTCAATAAAGTTCAACCTGTATTTAGTAAGGGAAATTATCCCTCTCTATGTAGCATCTGAGTTTTAACTGGTACGAATTCGAAGTTCTGAGATTTTAGTCGGCTATATGCTCTTTTAATTGGTAGTTGAGTAGCAGTCGTATAGAAGGACGCTGTACATAATGGTATTATATGGCTCTTTGATATTTCTGTATTTCGATAGAGTGAGATTTAAAATCTAATTACCAACTTACGAGATCATCAGATGCAGCTCCGACACACACTAACACAATGTGGTGGACAAAGACAATATGATTATTTCAGGGTAACCTAACAGGCTAAATAGTTACAGCAAATTAATGTGTCAGACACTGTTTTAATTATTTCGCACATTTTCAAAGCTTTATTCTTATTATTTTGTGAGAGAGAATCAGTTGACTTCCTAATGACTTTTGCTTGTCTAGTAGACTACACTTATTGTATCCCTGTCAAACAATTATTATTTTATCTGGGTCCTATACATTTAAAAAATCTCTAAAATCTTTAGGTTTCTCTGTCTGCATTTGGGTGGTTGAAATTTATTAACCAAAGCGTAGAACCTGTTAATAAACATATCGAGTGACAAGCAACTCCCCGAAATGAATAGCTTTGTAGTCATTCAATATTAATCCTGACCTTGTTAGTTAAAGGCAATCAGTTGTTCATCGTTATTATACCCTGATAGGTTGTATGACACTCTTCACTCGGTAATTAATTTAGAAGTCTCAGTTTCCTCTATTCTTATCTACGTTCAACTTTGCTGTCACCGCTAGCCATCACGGTCGTTTTCGGTCTTATTTTGAGGCATCATTTAAAGGGTATTCGTAAATCCATGTTTTCCGATTCTCCTGTATTGGGAATGTTTTCACGTACATAAGCATATTTGCAAAGTCAAGAGGATTGATTGTTTTTCAAAAATGTGAACTTATGTATATCAGTATCATAGTTGACTGACTGACCGAGTATCGTAAGATTGTATAAATCCGAAGAGAACATAGCTGGAGACAACCAAATGTATTTGAACACAAAATTAAAAAATCTCTTAGTAAAATCTAAGAACCATACAGTAGATACTTCATTTGCAAAATGCCAATCAGTCGTCTCAGACATGACTGTTCCTTCGTTTCCGCACCAATCTTGCTCTGTCCTCGTTATCTTCTCTTCGAACTTCTTAACCTATCTCCAGACACTTCGATTGATGATACATAAAACTAATATCTGTCGATATCAGTAGCATACACCACAGTTGAATACGATGCATCAAGTAACTTGACTATTGTTATATATAACAGGATAACATTAATTAGTACTTGGTGACCATTCATTACATATCACACGTACAAACGGCCAATCAGAAACAATTACTGGATAGATTATGCAAAGTGACGCGTAGTTATTACCATCTAGCAAAGTAAAAAAATTCAGTTTGCCATGTGTGCTACTGATGTCGACATATAAGCAGTATGTATCATCAATCGAAAGTGAAATACTTGGTGGCAGAAGGTTAAGAAGATCAAATAACCGGGAACAAGAACAAAGAATGATTGCTGAAGAAATGAAGGAACAGTCATGTCTGGGACAATTGATTTATATTTTGCAAATGAAGAATTTACTGTATGGTTTTCAGATTTTATTATGAGATTTTGTGTTGTACTACATTCGATTGTCCCTACTAGTGTTCCCGTGCACCACAGTTTGACATTTCGTTACTTTACATTTCATCGACATTTATAAAAATTAATTTGAGCCAAAATCTTGAGAGTTATTAAAACTGGGAGAAATTTCAAAAGGAATTATGCAAGACTTTCTGATGGAATACCTCTATCATAAAATGTATGAACCAAGACCTTCTAGTTAATGTTAAAGTTAATAAACATGATCACATGTTCTGTTGTTGTGCCAGTTTATAAACTTACATTTTGTTATGTCTCGATAAGCATAATGAATGGTAACTTTTGGGATCCATTTATCGACTAGTACTATGCGTATATTTTTATCGTATAATTGTTAAATAACTAAAATATTCATATTCATCTCCCTCTTATTATGAGCCTTATTTTAACCTATGAACTATTATTATACGATTTATCACTGTTGAATTATGCCCTGTCTATTAATTACTACCTCCCTCATTCACAGCCACATTTGGCTAATTCTTGTACAAATGTTGTTTCCTATTTGATGGTACGTGTGGTCTGTCTGGTTGACATATAAACTGAGTATGTTTGCAATAAATGATTGATATTGCAGATGCTGAGATTGGTTTTGTGGACTTAAGTGGCTGGGCTAGATAGGAAGCAGGACCGACAAGTACTACTCAATCAAATTGATTTTATGGTTAAAAACAAAAAAACTAGAAGTCTAATATTTTATTCACCCAATCTATAAAATACACTTCAGAATGTCACTCAGTTGCAATAAACATAGAGCATAGCACAAATAAGCGTTGATGTAATTTGCTTTAATGAGTCAATACGAGATTAAGCCAACAACAAGAATACCAAGTGACTAGAAATAACTAAAGTAACAACGATAGTAAGAAAGACTAAGTATAGAACATAGATCGAAAAAGAATAAAAATGCATACATGAAGGAATACTGGAACTCAAGACCTTGAATAAAAGAAAGAGTGAATGTTTCCGTGCCATTGAGATTGTTTCTGAGACATGTCACCCAACGCCTTCAACCACTGATCGCGGTTACCCTGTAGAACCTAATTAGGTAGTCTGTGTCTACCAACACAACCTAGACCAACAGTCAGTGACTTCATGAACTAATGCTGTCTTGTGCTGGTAGAACTTTCTTTCAACATACTCTTACAACAGCAAACACTTCGTGTCGAGATGGATAGTGGAGAGACATAACACATGTCTCAACCGCCTTAGTACATGAAGATTCACACCTTTACTAACTAATTTGTCATCTTTGTCTAATAATCTACGCTTAATCACATCATTGCACTTTTAACCGTTCCACAATATGCGAATAATGTCTAGAGTGTACTACAGGAATAAATTGCAAAAGTTAGATCAAATCAATCCAAAAGTATATAGAACTACATAGGAACCTACGAAAGTTCACTCATTCAGTAATTTAGATTTTCAATCGCACAGACATGAACACAATAAAATAAAATTGTTATTTTAACTGGACGGGAATAAGAAGTTGGTAGAAAATAAACACAGAATAAAATCCAGATATAAGTAATGAAAGAATCAACATCAGTGCAACTCATCTTAAACTATATCAAGTACTGTTTGGAAAACTTCATTTATATCTCGAACACCTCTAACACGTAGTCTGAGAATGTTCGACGCTTGAACCGGGTTGGTGGGTACGGAGGATCCACCTAGTGGAAATGGAAAACCCTGATCCCAAACCAATGGTGCACATGGGTTACGTTATCCTGAGGGAATAAATGGTGCATGGGCCTATTGTTGATCACCGGCTACCATCGGACCGCATGTCTTAAAGTTGCTCCACTGTCTTGTGGATCAGAACTCCGAGGAGTGGCCCCTTAAGAAAATCACCTGTTCCGGTTTGGGCTCCGGGCAATGTACCAGACCACACAACCTAAACGACGATAACAATTGCAAAACCTATTTAAGCTTTAATTCTCATCTTCGCAACTTCTACTTAAAACTACTTATTAATACTCGTTTTTAATTCACATTATATCACCTATCTATTGCTTTATTCACATATTGTATATTATTTTATTCTCCAACTTATACAGCAGCTTGCCTATAGTGGAAGATATGTCCTATTTAAACAATTTCAAGTCACTGATTGGCTGAGAGTTGGATTCTACCACTGAATACAAATTATAAACCAGGGTTTCTGAAACCATGTATTCCACTTAAACTGGCCTCCTTTAAAGTTAGCACATTAATTCAGATCGGACAACAGACAGGGCTGGCTATATCTTTAGAAAGCAAAGGTGATAGCTTAGAGCTTTAAGATGACCTGGAAAAATTATTTGAATGGTCTAGAATTTGGAAGTTACCGATAAATGCTTCCAAGTGCATAATAATGTAAGTTTGCCACCAAGGTACAGATACATGCACAGTGAAGAGAGTTGGGCTACGCGTTGTCTGGACACGATGACCGAGAAGTTATAGTTAGTCAAAGCTTTAAAACAAATGCACAATGCTGTGCGATAGCCACCAATGGTTTTAGAATCCTATGGTCAATACATAAAGACTTTAACCATGTTGTTGCTAAAGCCTTTCTGACTTTGTATACGGTGTTTGCTAGCCCTGAATCGAGTACTGAATCCAGTCAACTAGCTTCTGTTTAAAGAGACAGTGAGCTGCCTATCCAAAGAACCGTAAATAAGCTGATTCCCGAAATAGCAAATCTTTTGTATGATGATCAACTGAGTAAATTAAACCTACTTCCGTTTTCATATAGAAAAATCAGAAATGACCAGTTTTAAATTACTTCATGGCAAATTTGCATTTGATATTCCTTCATTTTTGTTGCTTTGCAGAACAGAATTTACGAGGGCACTCTATAAAGGTTCAAAAGCCCAGGACAAACTACTTGTTGGCCGGCTACTGACTTTCTCATCAAATCGACGAATGGAGTTTACTACCTCAACACATGATTGAAGCTTCTAAAGAAAGTTGGGTCAGTTGAGAGACTACCATTACGAAGACTAACACAGGCATTTAGCCTCTTCTCGTCTCTAAACTGAAACTGCATAAAACACCAAACAATTTACTAGACTGGATGTCAGTGTCCAGTAAAGGCACCTTTATAGCCAACTAAGGGGCTTTAACAGGCAAACGGACAGATCGGTACTTTATTGCTGAGTTGGAACAAATCCATACCAGCTGTTGTAAAACATTTTGTGAGATGAAAAGTTAATTAGATAGTGGAAAATGAAGTCCACCAACTTACAATCAGGATAACTAACAGACAACGGTCTATAATATGTCCAAAGTGGGTACTTACTATGTAGTTAGATAACGCAGGAATGAATAAACTGATAGAATGACAAAATCGAACGCACTATTAAGAGCAAATAAAATTCAAAACAATAACTGACTAAAGTTAAGGAGTCAATTTACAAAAAACTAGTTTGATGACAGATAACTCTATACGCTGAAACTCATACGGAATAAATGGTCTGGTTGACGAAATGAATTACTTCGGTGGTTCCCAAGGTTCAATTTTTGGACGAGTAGTTGAGTAAGGTATGTACTTCTTGTCCTTCTGCAAGGTCAAATTTTCAGAGTGTTCAGCAGACCACTTGTAAACAGTTGGTGGATGAGACACAGGAGTTTCGTCGGTTATGTGGTGTAACCAGCGGTGCCTATTTTTCGATGAAATAGACGAATATAAACAAACCATTCTGGTGGGACTTGAGACCCTTCATAGTCCCAACCAAACCTATTCGAATATCTAACCCAACGATTTCTCCCTGACGTTAATTTATGAATGAAGCTTACCAACGAAGTAATTATTATTTTCATAGTATTTATTTCCGAAATTGTCAGTTCCAACTAATTTACCCCATTTCAGTTCGTCAGTCCTATAGTAAAACCTTAAAAGTGAAACCCTTACCTGAATAAAGTTAAGAACGACCCTTTAATCCCACCGTTCTGTCGTATTATTAGTCTTAGGGTGTTTAACTTCTCAACCAAAGACATCTCATTCAGGTGGCGCGGCAACCTTGACGCGCCCAAGGTTTTCAGTCTTCAGTAATAAGGATGAGAGGTCTATCAACCTATATTAATCCTTGCAGTCTGAAACACTGTGGAGGTCCATTCTAGTTTTTAATATATCAACAGAAGGTGCTGATATTACGTGTTCTGGTAGATAATTTTAGTAATACACCACTCTGTGTGAGAAATGAAATTCCAGACGTAGTCGCTTTTGATCTCATTTTTTGGACTTTCTTTAAATGTCCTCCCAAATGATCAATCACAGAAGGAAGGAAAAGATTAGATATACTGGTACCAAGGTCATCTTTCAGTATACGATAAGTCAATATTAGGTCACCCGTGTTCTACGGTAAGGTAACGAAAATAAGTTGAGGGGTCTCAGTCTGTCATCATTAGATCGGCCGGGCAGACCTTTAGCCGTGTTAGTCCCTAGTCGTTAGGCTCGTTCCAGCATATCTGCCTGATACTTGAAACCAGGACTCGCTGCTTGAATCCCATATTCTAAATGAGGTCTCACGAAAGTCGGGTGTAATAATCTAAACATTTCTTCATCCAAATTCTGAAAACACCTACGAATAGCCCATAAAAACTTAGAGCCTTTTGCTGTAGAAGCCTTGCAATTACTCTTAGTTTTGAGATTGCTGCCCATCATGACTCAATCTTCAGTCTTCGCTAATAAGGATGGTAGGTTGATTAATCTGTGTTAATCCTGACATTGTCTTCCACTGAAGGTCCAGCTTCTCCTTGAAAATATTCAGTGATGGGGCTGATACCACCTATTCGGGTAGGGCGTTCCAGTCATTGACTACTCGATGAGAAAAATGGGACCCCGCTTTGAGTTTATTAGATCGTGGTTTAAGAACCTTCTTGCTATGACCTCGGAGATTATTAGTACTGGAGGGGGCAAAAAGATAAAACATATTAACACCCAAATCATAATTAAAGATACAAAATTCCAGTATAAGGTCACCTCGCGTGCTACGATACGACAAGGGGAAAGCGGTTAGGCGTTTTAAACGCTCATCATAAGGGAGTGTAGAAAGGCCCTCCACTAATTCCGTTCCCACACTCTGGACACGCTCAAGTGAGTTAGTATCCTTTACCAGACATGGGTTTGGATACAGTACTCTAAATGTGGTCTCACATAAGTAGGATATAAAATTCGAAACATTTCCTCGTCAAAAGATTTGACCGCTCGGTGAAGTGACCATAACGCACGAAAATCCTTGACAGCGGCTGCGTTGCAGTGCGTAGTTGTTTTTAAGTCATGTCTTATTATTACTCCTAAGTCTTTATGTTCTTGAACGTATGCAAGAGCTTTGCCATCAATAGTATAATGGCAACTATTACCTTCACCAATGTCCATTAGCACACTCTTCCTAAAATTGGTTTCTAAGCCCCGATCTCTAGCCCATCCAAATAAATCGTCCAAGTCAGCTTGGAGATCCAAGTGATCAGCCTCACTTTTTATTGTTCTCCAGATTTTTACGTCATCCGCAAACAATAATATCAACGACCTAAGCAACAAAAGTAACTCGTTAAAGAAGAGCGGAGGGCCTAAGATGGTGCCTTGGGGTAAACCACTTTTGACCAGCTTCCAATCGGATAGGGTTCCATTGAACCTCTCTCTCTGTCTGCGGTCACATAAGAAGTTTCCTATCCAGTCATATACAGTACCCATTATTCCGAAGCTCGTGAGCTTCTGCATAAGATCTAGGTGTGAAACCTTGTCAAATGCTTTGCTAAAATCTATGAATATCACATCGACAGACAGATCTTTATCTAAGGCTGCTATCCAATCTTCTCTCGCAATAAGTTAGTCAAGCATGAACGCTTGTTACGAAATCCATGTTGCTCAGGGGCTAACAGACTATGTGAATCTATGTGTCTTAGCAACCTGACCCGAATTATCTTGTCAAGTAACTTAACAACAATGCTAGTTAAACTGACCATCCTTAAATATAGGGCTGACCATAGCGTCTTTCCAATCTCTAGGGAGTTGAGAGAGTGAAAGGGACATAATGAAGAGTGTTGCGAGCGGTTTTGAAATAACGTCCGCAAGAGATGACAGCAGCCGTGGACGTAACCCGTCAGGGCCCGATATCTTACAAGGTTTGAGGCTAGTTATCAACGGAAGGAAAGTTTTCTCAGTCACCTGTATAGATTAAATGGCTGGTATCTCGGTGTGATTGGGACAGGTACTTGTTACAATAAACGTAGAATATATTTCGCAGAAATAATTTGAAAAAGTTTCAGCTTTTGCCAGATTTGATTCAACTAATAAATCTGAATTTTCGTGTGACAGTAACGGGGGAATACCATCACTACGTTTCACTCGCCGTTTAACATACGAAAAACAGTCGTTTCGGACAAGTACGGCTATCATATACCAACTGTCATTTGTAAGTAATACGGGATTTAGCAATAGTTTTCTTACAAATATTCCGGAATTTCCGGTACTCACGATTAAATGATGTATAACCTGTCAAGAAGAATAAGTCCCAGAAGTATTTTCTACGATTTAACAGCTTCCGGGTTTTCTTATTAATCCATGGTGGGCAATGTGATATTTTTCGTGTTGACCATGGGATAAACGGTGATGTTACGGACTCGAATGTAGCGTTAAACTTATTCCATTAGTCTTCAATCTATCCATCTACTTCAACCAACCAGTCACTCGACATAACACAGTTTCTGGTTGCTGGAATATTAGCTCGCCAGATATTGGGACGGGGTGGAGCAGATACTAACTGCATACCATGTGTCCTAAACTTAAAGTGAATTACAACGTGATCACTGTTCACTAGTGGGGGAAGGTGCTGAATATCAAAAACATCCTCACAGTGGTGGGTGAGAGCGAGGTCCAGCAGTGACGGATCATGATTGAAATCAATATGTGTCGGTTTTGTGATACATTGTACAAATGCACACTGAATAACGGTAGGTAAAAGGTCGCTATCGAAACCACTACCTGGATCTGTAAGCTCTATCCAGTTGATATGCGGTGCGTCGAAGTCCCCAGTGATGAGACAACATTCTGCCATGCTCTTAAGATAAAGCTGTCAGCAAGACAACATGAACTACGGTGTATACCCCCTATAGTCGCTAACCCATTTCTAGATTTCATCTTACAACATGCTACCTCACATGTACCACTGACATGAGCCTCCGATATGATTGATTGTATACGAAAAGGATCCCTAACGTATAAGATTAAGCCTCTCCCGTTGAAACTTAAAACTCTATCACTTATAATACAGATATAGTCTACAATGATGGGAAAACATTCTATATCTACTGTGAACCAAGTTTCTGTAACAACAGTTATATCAGGACTTAATTCACCGACCATCAGACTTAGCTCAAGCGTTTTGTTTCTAAGACTACGGATGTTCGTGTATCACACACTTAAGGTGTTTCTGGAATCATTCGTTCTACCCATACAGGTCTTGGAAGCCAATGCTACCCGAAAACCCTTAATGGTAAGATTAGTTTCGCCATCTAACTTGCGAGTTCTTAACTCCGTAAGAGCACTCTCTCACTTGGTTCGATCCTCAAGCGGTCAATCTGGCCGAATACGAATATTTAAATCACGAGTTTTTGTGCGTTTTTCAATAATATATCTCTTTCTTCAAAATTCCCGAGAATCAGCTTCAGGATTCTTCTTGGTTGGGTCTCGCCTGCGACTTATTTACCGAGTTGTATCACTTTCGTAATATGTACCAGTGAAAGCTCTTCAGGTGGAAATGTCTTATCACAGATTTCATTAACTGCAGGTCATGTGTATGTCGTTTAGCAGGGTCGTTGTCTTTCCACTCCTCTAGATTTCAAATAATTAAACTAGGAACGAGTTTATCTTCTTTTTGAAATCGTGTTCACGGCATTCGAGCGACACGCTCATTGATTGTTTCGGGGTAGAAGGTTTAATTGCGGGTTGCACAGTTAGATATCTGTCTTGCGCCGTGACAACACTCATGACACTGACGCAATTTTCGCCATCAGTACCCATGTTACCAGTACAGCCCTCGTCAACCTTCTTATTAACCAACGCCAGGAGGCTAATTGCTTCCTGGATGAATAATGTTTTGCTCGAGCAACAAAACATACAAAGCCAATGTGAGTTCGGCTTTGAGCACCTCATATATGCAATGGGGCTTAATCGGGCGCACATCTTATAGAACCACATATTACACTCATCACATTGCAACCCTTTCTTCACGGGAATAAGCAATAGGGTTGTCCACATCTATGAGCAGAGCCGTCCATCTTGAAAATCAACTACAATGGTGACACAAACAGGATATGTAAAAGAATTCTCAAGCCTTAACTAAATAAATCAAGTAAAAGTCGATTAAGTATGCTTTGATGCAATAAATACACAAAAGCAAAATCAAAACACTCAATACAATATCACTTTAAGTGGAATAGATTCAATTCAAGTGTAAACAGTGGTTTTGATGCGTAATTTACGATCAAAACAGTTAGTTTACCTCGACGAGAAACAATATCATTGTCCTTTTAAATAGCGCGACTCAAAATTCTTTATAATTTGTTACTTTTGGTAACACGAATCCACGTATTGTGTAGTAATGCGAATCACCATAGTTATTTAATTGCATAGCCACACTCTTGTTGTGATTCACATCTAGTGACCATCCGTCCATCCATGCCACTAATGAGTTGAGATCACCCTGTAATAATATTCTACCTGACATACTGTGTATAGATCTCCAAATCTTCGTGTCATCGGCGAAAAGTTGAACGAATGAATTTGCTACAGTCGGTAATTCATTTCCATAAAGTAAAATGAGTAGAGGACCGAGGATTGTGCCTGGAGGAACTTGTGGTGGTCGGTATCCGATATAATCCTTAAACTTCGTATACAGCTCGTCTTGATAACCGTTCTATATAACGTCCCAACGGTATATTAATCAGAAGGCAAATACGAAGTGTTGATTACGTTTATTACGAGACCACACACATATATCCAAATGTACAGATGCGTTAAACAAGCATAGAAGAGTTGTGCTGAAATGCAAGCAAGCGAGCGAGAGCCATAGCAAAGCAATTTTGACACGTATGGAAGATGGCTGGGAAGCCAACTCTATCTTTGTCAAGCGTTACTCAATATTTATAGTCAGACAAAATAAAGCTACAGACATGTGATTAGTAGGATAAGAAGGGCACACACATATAAGCTCATATAAAAACAGTCTAGATTGATAAGCGAATAAATAACAAGGTCAAAGTATGGCTCGAGTAGAATGAATAAAATGGGATGTCCGGAAGCTAGAATAAGGTATATGGGCTTGGCATAATAACTGACACTACAAACTCCACTCGTTACAGGTCTTCACTACGAGTGAGCTCAATTTACCCTTACCCCTTGCCACCTGTCATGGAGAAGGTCAATTATCCAGTCTATGACTGTATGATGAATTCTGAAGATGCCACAGGTATTCGGAGTTTGACAACGCTCTAACCAGTGACATCGTTTATGAATCGTACCCACCAAGTGAAATCAAAAAACAGAAGCGAAGAGGTTAGAAGATATGTTTGATAGGATAAAAATATATCGGGGATCGTCTGATCTAATATGGCTAGCGGTTGCAGGGGTTGTTGAGCACGGCGTTCCCACTCGTGATTTTGTGCGGATGCATGACCGAGCGCTTTCAGCTAGGTGAGTCCAATAAAACCAATGTGGTCAGCATCCAATGTCGAAAACTAACAGAGCCATTTATTCTGGGGATTTATGTACCGCTCTAATCTGTGACTGACGATGGTGTCATATTATTTATGGGTGAATTCTTCATGTGAGGCTTTAAAACAAATAAGATCAAGTAAACTAAACTCAAATGAATATAAAATAGATATAACTAATATTAAATTCATGAAATGTCTAGCATTCGAAATTCAAGTACACACATTCCTTTACCCTAAATTATCCTTCTAGCAAATGGATAAGTACAGAGGTGAGATAATAGTCGAATGAATTGATAAGATTAAAACAAATACATAAATGAAAGAGAATGAATAATCGAGCGATTTGAGCAACCATCATTTAAGCAAGTATGAGGGATGTGTGTATAGACCGTAACACACACTTCAGCATACATGATCATTCCGATATGATAATAATACTACAAATATGTAGAAATATTGTTACTTTTCAAGTGAAGGGCTTGACAAAAACGTAAACAGACTTAAGTGTAGGTTAGGTGCTATAATCTTATACATAATTATACGCTGAGCATTCATAGTAGTCACGCGATAATTAAGAAATGATGATTGTGGAAGCTGAAAATAAAGTTAGGCGAAACAATTGTTCTCTCAAATTAAATATATTTGACTCAATAATAAGTGATAAGAAACTATGACCTCTTGAATTCACCACCACCGCTATGAACGAGAAAACAATACATCATTGTTTCGTTCAACGATTCTGTACATTGTAACTACCACTAGTCAATTTGAGAATGTTAAGTATCTTTTAACTGTTCACAGACTAAGAGTATTCTTCAATCATTTTTAAGATAATGATTAAGGCTGTTGCTCCATATATATTGTCATTTATCAAAAGGAAAAACAATTTTGCAAATGTAAGAGAATGTTTGCACTTTTAAATTGCTGAAATCATGACATATTTTCATCAATTGATTATCTTTCCACTGTTCTTTCCTCGAAATTAAAATTGCGCAAGACTGAAGACATTAGGTTCGAATCTCGTAGGTGGGATCTTAGTTAAACATTTGCTGAGGATTCCAATACTAAGACAAAATGACCATCTAGTACTTCCAAATTTTCAGTGGTGGTTCAACATCGTCAGTCAGTCAGTCAGTAACAACGTAGAACTTCGTACGTACGTACATCAGTTCGAGTTGCCACACCACATTAGCACAGAGATGCACTTGTCGATTCAAATCCCGTAGTGGTAGAGGTAATAAGAGTATAAGCAGTAATCGGGAAGATTAGGGTTTGGAGATGTTATTTAAAGAGTATAATCCAGTGAAATAAATCTGGAAAGAGGAAAAAAGGGACATGAAGAATTCAGAAGATTAGAATTTGGGAGAACACAGAGAGTGTATGCACCTGCGCCATTCCAAACGATTTTGAGCCATGTCATCCAGGGTCTCTAACCATCGGTTGCTGTCATCTCGCGGTCCCCAACCAGGTAGTCTACACCTACCAACATGACTCAGTTCACTTGTCAGTGACTTCATGGACTTGTGCCATGTTTTGGTTTGGCCGCCCCTAGCTTTCTTCCAACCTACTCCTATACCACTGAACATAGCACGTCGAGGTTTAACATCGACCGATTGATAATCTCAATCAAAACCTTAACAATCGTCACAATCCCATACTGTTATGTAACAATTAGATAAGAGTTTAAGTAAATTGTTTTTTAAATAAAATATATATTTTACATAAATTTAATTTAAAACACACATGAAACTTTAAATGTCTGTTAGATATTTGAATAAACAAAAAAACAATGATAATGAATGTATTGAAGGAACAAATTGTTGACAAATCAATAATTCTTTTCGATGAGCACATTTTATCTTCTATATCTCATGATCTCTAATAAACTTCGGAAATTATCGTAAACTACAAAAAAAAAGGATGATAAACGAAACATAATCATCCGAATATTTTAATGTTTTACACAATTGTATATGCAATGTGATTGTCATTACTGAAGGGATTCATTGAGTTTGGAACATTTCAATGAACAATATCAATCTGCTTTATCACTATTCGTTGACATATATCAGTAAATTTCTAAATACTACATTATAAAGACTTTAATTAATGAACAGTCAAACTATTAGATTATTTATCTCAGACTCAGACTCTTAAGTGAATGTCAAAGTTTCTGAACTATGTAATCTCTTAAACTATGTGATCAAAATTGCTTCAGATCTTTCTTTCTACGAACTAATTCTTTCTACCCGTACTATATTCTTATATGCAATCTTTATTTTATATATTACCACAGCTGAATTAACTACTTCTATGAACCCGGTGTTCATCTTGTTGTGTTAATAAGGTATGGAAACTTGAACCGATGCATATATGTGTCTGGTCTAATGTTCTAGCTGACTGAATGACTGACTGATTCCTCCATAGCTTGGATAAGAATTACACCTCTCTCATATCATACTAAATGTTAGTGGAAACAATCTTGTATTACTTGTCAAAAACTGATCAGAGACAGAATGTTAAAGCAAATGGAACTTATATTTTGTTGAAATCCAGATTTAGAAATACTTATATCAATGAAATTATATATGTTGTCATATTTTTATGTTCACCTATTTCATTACGCCTGTTAGCACTGGAGGAGGAGCATAAATCACTCATGGGCATTCTCTATCCAGCTATGTCTTGAACTATGCATTCCACTACTTTCCAGTTCCTATTCATCCTCCTAATGTCTGCTTCCAATTCTCGACACCGTAGGTGATTGAGTCTCTCACTTATCTGTTTCTCTTCAAGATTCCATGTTACCATTGGCCTTGTGATGCAGTCTGATGATTTCCTTGATCTATACGCAATTCACTTTCATCATCTTTCCATAAATTCTTCTCCATCTAGTAGCTGGTTCGTTCTCTTACACATTAGGTTGTTGCTGATGTTATGTATTCAATGGTGATTGAGCATCATGTGTAGATAATTTTTTAGAAATACTTGTATCAATTTTATAATGATCGCCGTAGTTCTCGGACAGTCTTAACAGTTGTTTTGAGTTCTACATATTCTTTGATTGTAGGAATTGTTGGGTCGGCTTCCGGAGAACTTCAACGGAGCCTCCAGAGGCCCCAAAAGGAGCCGAATGGTCCCAGCCAATCAGAGTGTGATGGAACGTTCGAGAATTCCAGCGTAACGCGCTACCATTGGTCGGTAGCATAATATGACGTTAACGGATTGGCTGAAATAATATGTTTATTTAACAGACGCCAACATCTATAAATACCCTTTATTTTCTGTACTAAAATGAACCTTGGGATAAGGTGTTTTCTCTCATACTTGTGTCTTCTCTCTGGAGTTCAAGTCGCTGTGTAGTTCTATTCTACGGGTTACGGGAATAGCTTAGGATTCGTATATAGCGTTCAACCTACATGACTTATCAGGAATGCTACCCTTGCTTCGCTAATCCTCGCGCTTCGGTGTGCATCGGATCCTCCTTGATCGTCGATGATGCTGTCCGTGGTAAAAACATTGGTAGTTGAACACATATATAACATTAGTCTAAACTAGGTATACTTTAGTGTAAACTATATATATTCATATATATGCATACTCAGAAATAAAATGTTATTATAAACGAACCTTGGTTTCTAATATTTATTATTTTCACAAACAGCTATGTTACCATTACTTGTTATCATTATCTATAAGGAAATAAATTCAGATTGAGTAAATTGTTTCAGTCAAGGTTAATAAAACAAAATTATCTTCTGGATTTGTGTAATGAGTCTTCAAATATGAATACATTGTTTACTACAACTCTTGATAAACTCAAGGCGGAAACTAGCAAACTCTTACAGTCATTAAAAGCTAAGCTAGGATCGTCCTTATAAATTAGGTTATATCCAAAGAGTTGTAACCCATGCAGATTTTATGGACTACCAAAGATCCACAAGAATAATACTCCACTAAGACCAGTGGTAGACTATGCAAATTCACCGACTTACAATCTAGCTAAATATTTGGCTAAGATTCTCAAATCATATGAAAAACGGATTAATCATGGAATTAAAAACTCTATGGAATTCAAGAATTTAATTGATACAATCGATATAGAGGAAGACGAAATAATGGTAAGTTTTGATGTATCTTCCTTATTCACTAATGTACCTATCAGTCGAGCTATGGATATTATCAATGATTGTTTAGAATCTGATTTAGATTTGAATTTACGATGCCCATTAGATCCATCAGAGGTTATAAAATGCTTGGAATTATGTTTAAGATCTACCTTATTCATATATCGAGGTCAACTTTACAGACAGAAAGAGGGTATAGCAATGGGCTCACCAGTTTATCCGATTGTAGCGAATTTATTCATGCATCCCCCTAGAAACTAGTGCAGTCTCTCACACATACATACATACCTACACACTCACACACATACGATTTGTTACTCAGTTAAGTATTTCCATGTAGTTGATTTCTCCACATGATTTCTAGTTAAATGACTCATTTTATCCTATTTTAAAAAAAAATCAACATCCAAATATGATTGGTTTGACACAGTATAATCTTGATTGTTAAAAAGCTATATATTTCTTTGATAATTTTGATTTTGATTATTACCCTGAAGAAGTCCAGACAAGTTAGCTGGACGAAACGTTGGAATTAGTTATATTTCAATTGCTGAGAATATTTCAAATATAATTTTCACATATAATGACTTCTCTATACTCGGCGCTCAATTACTGTCAAACTATTCGTTTTAATCTTGACGAATATTCGTATAAACTGTTTACTATTATTCTTTATATATGGAAGTTCTATTAAGATAATGATAATTATCATTATATTACTCTAATTGATTATTTTATATCATCCGCTAATGTTTTTTTATTGAGAGACAAAACTAAAAAGGAAACAAGCCATATGGTATTGCTGGCCTTATTTGTTTCACTATAAAGAAGAGTGAAGAACAAAGATTTGTACAAAAGAACATTAATTTGTATTAAGTTTCGTTAGGTTCTCATCAGTTGCTCACAAAGTATAATAATTAGTAATCTGTGGGGCCCTTTATTTAGACGTCCGTTGCTCCGCGCGATGTCATCAATGGGCTCACTACTTAAGTGGCCCTATATCTGACTCTAATTTGATCGTCTGAATAATTGTTGTCAAAATATACATAATCGCAAACCTCGTGTATAATTATCGACATAAATCGCATTAGCGAATAACGGGATTTTGGAATACATATATTTTGTACAATCATTGATGTGAACAGATATTCAGGGAATCTCAGCGAATGAGACGAGGAAGACAAAGCGAAGCAAAATGACGCTCAGTGAAAAAGGCGTGTGAGCCAACTCTATTTAATGAAGTGTTATTCAGTGTTTATGTTCACACAAAACTGATTACTGACATTTGATTATGATCAGCCAAATGTCTTCAATTCTCCCGTAACAGTCATGTCAAATTATTTGAGACTGTTCAAGTTTCGGAAAATGTTTTTAGACTTAATCACAATCGATTATTAGTTTGAGGAAACTCAGTCAGATTACTCTGGGGACAAAGCTCACAATTTTCATCCTTATTATGGATTTAAACCATCGGTTATGTAACTTCGATCATTTGATATAGTCTAGGCCCTTAGGCTTTAAATATATATACATAAAGTTTATCAGTGTACGCTAGTGTATCATCAATGAAGGTAATCGAAAATTAACTGAAATCTGTATCTATTCCCCTTTTTATGTTTTATGGGCATATATAAATTTACACTATTTACCTTTCAACAAACATCTTACATAAAGAACAGTATCATAATGTTTACACCAATAATACGTATATAAACTGTGGTAACTTACATCAAATACTGGGCAATAGTCATATCTGTCCAAACCTCTATAATATTTTCTTTCGTTTACCGATACATTAAATGAGTTATCCATATACTGGAATTCAGGTTTTATCTCACCTTCACGTTTATACAGCGTACAAAATGCTTTTGCATTTTGAGAACGTAAACATTTTATTTCATTAGGTTTATCACAAAACGGCTGGATGTCTTGTCCTCTGGAAAACGAAAAATCTTATTTGACATTAAAATAAAAGACTTCTCAAAAAAAAATTGGTGAACTTAACAATTATTGAATAACTTAACAGTTGGAATCATGGGTCGATTCAAGCTAGATCACCATTGTAAACCTGGCAGCACTGAACGGCCCTTTCGTCCTAGTATGCCACAACTCGGCAGTGCACATCTACGACTCCGCACGCAGCACTCGAACCCAAGACATTCAGTTTAATTTTGAAACAAACATCTTGTCTTCACTGTAGTTGAACATTTATTTACTCATGTAATAGAAGTTAAAGAATGTTTACACTGAGTAATTCGCTTAAAATACACAATTGATTGATCACTGGGTGATGATCAATGTCATGCTTGTCTAGTCCTTATTAGTGCAGATCGGATGCTATCGATGATGTTGCAATGTGGCCACCAGTCTAGGTGACTCGAAACTGCGGGCACTATGTATTGAGATTTAGATGGTGGTTGGAGGTAGTCAACAGGAAACTCTGGACCCGGGTTTCGTGCCACTTGGCACTCGTCAGCAAGGTGTACCTGTAATCTTGAGGGAACTGGGAGCACCAGTTCCCGGGTCCAGGGTTTCCTGTTGACTACCTCCAACCACCATCTAAATCGCTTAAAATACAATCCAGCCGGTACCGCGAAAAATAACTAGTTTTATACAAATGTCTTTTAGCGTCTTTTTAGCAAGGTTGATTCCGACGGATTATGGTTGTTGACCAGATATCCAACACTGTTTCTTCACCCAGTCATAAGACAGGCAGTAAACCTAGAAGAGATACGGATGGACAAGAAGGTGAAGATGCCTTAGAAGCGCTAGAAACGTTTACGTAACTGTAAAGCACCGTCGGTGAACATGAAGGATCCGATGCACACCGAAAGGCAAACATTAGCTAAACAAGCACCGCATCCTTACAACTGAAGAACATATGGAATTCAAAACAAATGTCAACTAATAGCGAATTCACAATCTTCAATACGAACGTCAAGACTGTTCTACTGTACGAAACTGAAATCTGGAGAACTACTGAGATCATTATCAAGTCGATAAAAGTGTTTCTAAACAATTATCTACACAAGATACTCAATCAACATTGAACACATACCATCAGTAACAACCTATTGTGTGAGAGAAGAAACCAGCTACCCGATGAAGAGTAAATTAGGAAAATATGATGGAAGTGTATAGGTCATGCATTGTGGAAATCAGCCTGCATCACGAAACAAGCGCCGAATTGTAATCGTGAAGAGGAATAAAAAAAGTTGGAGACCCGATAACACAAAATGTAGGGTATTGAAAGTATACATGTAAATATTTGACAGCAACTGGAAAGAAGTGGAAAGGATTGCTCAGAACAGGGTTGGATGGTGAATGCTGACGAGTGCACTATGCTCTTTCATGACTGGTATCAGGTATAAGTAATTGAGTATATAGGGAATGCAGCATGATGATACTTCCATATTGGTTACTTATTAAGTGGTATTTGCACTGAACTTAGATATTATATCATTTTGGCTTTTTATTTAAGTTTACACTTGTCAATTATATACAATATCTATCTCAGTTTTGTTTAATTTGATAAAGTTTGCAACAGTGTCAAAAAAGGATGATCCGGGAAAACTATTCACCTTAGTTTGCGAAGAAGTATTAATATTTAGTTGTTTATGACCATAGACAGATAAGAATGAGATATCATAGAAATGCAGAAATAAAAGTAAATATACAGAAACTCCTAATATAATAACTTATTATGTCGGGAATGGGAAGCAAACATGAAGAAGATGAATAGGAACTGGAAAGAGATGGTCATAGACGTATGTAAGTACGTAATGAAGTATTTTAGCACGTAAGTAAGTAAGACGTCTTTTATATAGATTAATATCCAGTGACTGCAATATCTAATATTACAACTGTAAGTTTAAAATTCACAAAATTCTTTTGGGTAGTCACATACTACTTATAAAATTTTCAAAAACGACACAATAATAAATTGTGTAAAAAACAAACGAAAAATAAAACAAAAGCGATTTTCTTTTCGAGTTACCTTCTTTTTCTATTTTTAATAAATTCATAACAGCTTTTCATTACAAAATCACAACCTAAACCTTTTCCCCAATGGAATTCAGTGGCCATAGTATAGTCGACATCATAAAAGCTTAAATAAAGTATAATTGAAATAGAAATCAATCAAATGATAATGAAGTAGAGGTTTCGCATACAAATTATTTTTGTATTTTTAACTCCATTTAATTATTTATTTATTCATTATTTGTTGTGTGCTTTTTTCGTTGTACCATTTTATATTCAATAAATAATATGACAGTTTCAGTAAGACCGATAGGTCCTGAGTTCGAATGCACACTGTTGAGGAGTCCCATATTAGGACGAAACGACCGTCCAGTATTTCCAGATTTTGCTATAGTGGTCTAGCTTTAATTGACTCATGAATTCAATTATTCAATTATCATTTTATTGTTATAGTTTACATCCTTATAGTTAACTAATGATTCACTGTCTCGTTGTGCTTATCAGTTCATTCTCATTTCTAATCATATTATTTGTCATTTCTTAAGAATTGATGAAGCTAATATGAAGCTTCAAAATGCGTTAAACTCGTTTTATCCTGGCAAACAGTTTAGCGAAATTGTTCTGTACTTTTTTATTATTTCATAATCAGTTATGATTTAGAAAGTAATGCATTCGAAAATGCAGATGTGAAGGCGCGGATCGGCAAAGTAAGAGCAGCATATTTACAACTTAGAAACATCTGGAACTCAAAGCAACTATCAACCAACACAAAGGTCAGGATTTTCAATACAAATGTCAAGACAGTTCTACTGTATGGGGCAGAAACCTGGAGAACTACGAAAGCCATCATCCACAAGATACAGGTGTTTATTAACAGTTGTCTACGCAAAATACTTCGGATCCATTGGCCGGACACTATTAGCAACAACCTACTGTGGGAGAGAACAAACCAGATCCCAGCGGAGGAGGAAATCAAGAAGAAGAGCTGGAAGTGGATAGGACAAACACTGAGGAAAGCACCCAACTACGTCACAAGACAAGCCCTCACATGGAATCTTCAAGGCCGAAGGAAAAGAGGAAGACCAAAGAACACATTACGCCGGGAAATGGAGATAGACATGAGATAAATGAACAAGAATTTGATGGAACTAGAAAAGAAGGCCCAGGACAGAGTGGGTTGGAGAATGCTGGTCGTTGGCCTATGCTCCATTAGGAGTAACAGGCGTAAGTAAGTAAGTAAGTAAGTAAGTAAGCTTTCGAAAATTCATATTGATTTTGGTTGGATAACTGTTAAAAACAAGGAAACATTGAACAGTTGTTTCGTTCGAGTATGAAGCTCCTTAGGGATCGGAATATATGATCTCACGAAAGATCAATATCAGAGCCTTAATGCTTCACGATGATCGTATTACCTTCAGACCGATGCGTTAGCACCTAATGATTAGGATTCATAACTTCAGCTAATTCGTAGCATTAAGAGAATTTGTTC